TTTTATATTAGACAACTTTCTAAAGAAAAACATCTGTGAAAACAATGAAAGGATTCTTATATTTGGAACAGACTATTAGTTTGAATTCTTGAGTAAATCAGTGCATTGGTTTGTTGATGGAACATTTAAAATTGTAAAAAAAAACCATTTTACCAATTATTGACTATCCAATCTTATGTGAAAAAGAATGGCAACATGAAACATGTGCCTCTGGCCTTCATTTTCATGACATTGAAACACAAGAGAGCTTATAAATTGGCAGTTAAGGTAAGTGTAATAACTAATTATATTTTTAGTTTATTAACTTTTAAATAGTTTTCCATTTTTGGAGAAAGGAGAAGAATGGAGAGATCTAAGGAAAATCATGGCATTACCATTTTTACCATCTGATATTATCATTTCAACATTAGGCAGATTCAAGTCTGAACTTTTGGAGCAATAGAAATTTGCTGATCTACTGTTGTAATTTGAAAGTACATGGATATATAATTCTATGTGGAAACCTGGAAATTGGTCAGTGTTTGGTCTATCAATTAGAACAAATAATAGTCTGGATTGTTGGCACAACAGGATAAATAGTCAAGTGTATGAGTAAAAGGCTCATTTCACATATTAGTGGATGAACTGAAAAAAGAGGGAGATTTGATCATTATCTATGAGAAGGTGATGTCTGATAAACAAGTATATAGATATCAGAGATAAAGATATGTGGAAGGAGAGAAGAAAATATTTGACATTGGGGATGAGTACAAAGTAGGAAAAATATTGGCAGATGAATTATTACTTCAAACATCTCATATAAAGTGGATGACAGGAGTATATGGACACAGTAAATGTTGATTAGCCAACTTTTAATTAATGGTTAAAATTGTTTGTCCTCTGCAAATTAGTATTTTTTGTCTAAATTTATTTAGAAAAAGAGTTAAATTGACATAATGTTGAAAAAAATTTAAGAAAAGGATAATATTTTGTGAACATTATTAGCAAAAATTTTCTTAAGTTTTTTCTATATTTGGCTGTGCGACATGTTTATTGGAACATTGAGTTGACATCTGGTTTGACATTCAAATAGATGTCTCAAACAAAAAATTTTTCAACTTTCACATAAAAAAATAGACCATGTACACTTACATTCGTCAGCTATACCATACAATAGAGAAGTAGTATTGAACCAGTATTGTACTATGCAGATAGCACTGATAGAGATAAGAACTATTGACCTAGTTTCGCATTATTTAGTGTAGTAATGTGTTTCATTTTTGCAGTTCAGTTGAAATATTAGAGTTAGCTTATTAAATATTTTATATAGGGTTTTAATTTAACTATAACAAGTGCTAATAATGTAAGCATATATTACATAATTACTAATATTTTGCCTCTCTATATAAATGTTTTTCATTCTTAGACTTCCACAAATAAATATTTATCTCTTCATTTCTGCAAAAGAGATACTAGAATGTGAGACTCCTGATTGCTCAGATGACAATAATCCAGCATTTATGGTATCTTTGCTTAAAACTACAAAGGTCAAAAAGGGAAAATTGATTGGAGTTCAATGGAAATAAATAATTACAATCTATACAATACAGATGAGAAACAAGTAGACATTGTACAACCAGGAATGTACTTCTTCTCCATGACAGCAACATCTAACACTTTTGTAGATTTTAGATTAGCAAATGTTGGAAGAGATATATACTCAACTAGGAAATTGGGAAGTGATCCAAAAAGACTAACTTCTACATTTTCAAGGAGTGGTTTATTCCATTTGTCTCCTCTTTTCAAGCCTTCCCTTACAAGTACTGTTGATAATGCAAGATTATTTGGTAGTGATGAGGGAAAGGATACAGCATGGCTTGGCTTTAGATATGACAGTAGTTCCTATTTTAACTTAGCAGTCAATTCAGCAGTAACAGAATATGTGAAACCATTAAATATCACTCTTGCAGTAAAAGGCTTTACAATTTCATCAGATAGAAAATATATAACAAGCACTGAAAATGGTCTGTATTACATTAATGTTGGTGGTGGCAATAAGGCTAATAGAGCGATATACAGGTCAAGTACAAGTGCTGGCCATGAGCATTTCTCAGCAG